AGCCCCTACTGTTGAACACCCATTCGTACTATGGAAGCGGCGGCCATTCCCAAACTGCGTGTGTCTTTGCCCCCCGCCCCAAAACAAAACACGTGTTTTCCTGTTGGTTCCTTTAACCACCAAACCACCCTCGAAAGAGACCCAAGGGAATTTACTGGCCCTTGACCACAGCAGTCGGCCACAGGACAAAAACAACACATGGCAGCGTGTCATGCTGGTGAGGGATGCTTTCAAGGGTCCTCAGCCTCTCCCAACCTCCTCAGAACACCCTTTAAATTTTGTATGTAAGATACACCCAATCAATCCATGCAAGATGCCACCACCATTTGACCCATTTGGAGGGTGTCGGTATCAACCCCAGTGGATCCCGGCTCCCGCTATAGTAGCTAGCCACCCATTGTCCTTTTCGTTTCGATAGGCTGGTTCCCCTTGGTTGCCTGTGGTACATGGAATCGCTGGGACCTATGTAGATTGTTTGGTTGAATCTTTCCTATGGTTTCACCCCCCTGTGTCCTTCATGGACCGTAGTCTCCTGACTGGAACAGGGCAAAGGCATAAAAGGGTTTCACACCACCGCGGAAACCACCGCTGACCGCGCAACCCTGCACTTCAAGGTCCCTTGATGACAGACTAGGCCCAAACCCTTCCATTCCCCCTTCGAGTTTGGGCACGGCCGACTATTCCGATGATTCTAAGACCTATGTGGCTGAGGCTTGTTTTCGCCAATGAGCGAACTCGCTCCTTTTCCAGAGGTTCCCAACACCGCATATTTGCGGATGCTCTTCGGAATCTGTGCTTGACGAATCCACGAAGCAAAACAAGCCCAACACCGATTTGCTATGGGGTAAGCGAGCCTTTGGACCCACTTTTCAGTAAATCTCTGCCTGGAGTCTCCTTCCCTCAAAAACTGGGCTCCACCCTAAAAACCATGGGTCAATGACCCCGTTTATGACTTTTCGGGGAGTTCACTCCCATTTTTGCTTCGGGTCAGATCCGGAGACTCCAGGTATCCAGGGAGCCGAGCCACTGGAGCCTCACTCCAAATTCGTTTCAGGAGTCCTTGGGGCGCAAGGTCAAAGTCACCAGCGCGGAGACTCGCTACGCCCGAGCCTCGCATCGAGTGGCCGTCGCCGAGTGGAAACCCGCGGACGGAACGGAACGGAATTAAAAGCCACGGGTTTTTGGAATGCGAATCCGAAGTTGTAGTTGACGAATCCGAATCTGAAAGAACCCAACCCAGAACCGTAAGTATACGCCCTACTCCAAATACCCACTTCTGTTAGGTTTTTTTTTGAAAAACCTGGGTTTCCATGGTAGATACCTCCTTTTTTAGTAGTATTTATATTTTGATGGTACCCTTTTCGGGGTTGGTTTAAAGGAAAACCAAGTGGAAAACAGCCAGTTTTGGTGGTTCCTCAACGAAAGACACACCTTCACTGCAGGGTACCCGTTGCCTAAAAACAGGCAAATGGAATTATTGGGGAACACTCAATTCGGGGAGAACAGTGCTTTGGGGGATGATTTTCCTTTAAACCACCGTTTGGAGGGTAATTCAGGTGACACTTGAACCCACCTCTTTCACAGTTTTGATTCACTCCACTGTGTTTGAACAAGCCGAAAGCAGCGGTGAGTCAAGTACCCTTGCACTTGAAAGGCGACGAATTTGAGTAGTTTGAGTGAAATTCGCGTTCTGAGGTCCTTTTATGGGACAAATGGCCAAGTCTGGAGAAATATCTTCATTTGACATGCTGTGGGTGGACAAACTCCGATTCGCACCAGTCAGCAGGTGGTTTGTCCCCGGTACTCGAGTCATCCCAACGGGATCCCAGCGGGTGAGAAACGGATTTCGTCTAACCACGTCCGCTGGTTATGTCTGTGCCCCTAAAATGCCAGGCCCAAGCTTCGAAAGGACCCCATGGGTTGAAAGGGGAAGCCACCCGTCTCCATGATACTTTGAAATTGGGGTCATGACTCCTTTGGTTTGGTACCTGACGGAGACTCCATGACCCTGAAAAATGGGGTCATTACCCAAATAATGCGGTCATTGACCCCTTTTTAAAGGGTTATGGAGACTCCAGGTAGCGACCCCAGTTTTTTTGAGTCATGAAGACTGCAGGCAGAAGGAAGACGTTGCTCATGTTCCCATGTTGATTGCAAAGACCGCTGGGGTAACATGAGCTCCCTGAGGCTGGCTCGATTCTGTTTACCACGGCCTTGCGAAACTCTCTCCGAGTCTCCTGGTCAGGCCAAATGGCCATGGATCATAACCCATGGACTCCATTTTGGGCGGATGAATACCCATGTGCCACCAAATTTTGATGTTCACCAGGGGTACAGGGTTTTGACCCACGGCCAAATGTCCCCGTCCTGGCATTCGACTCTTTATGTTGGCCTGCATCTTCTTCGGGCTCGGTGATTCGGTTCGGAAAAACCAGGACCGACGTTGAGACTTGTGTTTTGTTGTTTTTGTCGCATTGGATTTGTTCAACTTGCTTGGATGTTCAACTCATGCTGTTCCTCAGGTTGTCACAGGGTCCCTTGGTACCTCATATTGGCGGTTTTGGAGAGTCCCTATCTTCTTTTCTTGAACGAAACACAAAACCGCAAATATATGGTGTATTGGGACCCTCTACGGAACCTACCTCAGCTGTAAGGCAATCCAGTGAACAGCGAGCGGCGATTCCCACGCCAATTCCATGACGGTCGCTTAGAGGTGTGTGGACTATAGTAGTCCCTCCCCCTTTATGGCACATACCAGGAAAGCACACTATGAGTTAGGACCCAGACATCCCCCCTACTCCAAATACCGTTTTTTTTTCAGGGTATGTTTGGAAAAACCGATCGGTTGTCCAAGGTAAATACCTCCAGGTTGACATCATAGCCTGAAAAAAGGCTGGCCGGGTCTTGGGTGGGGGTCTAATGACTTTTCCCTACCTCGGGGATATTTGAGCCGCAGGCATCTTGGCTGGGCGGCTCCATTGCCTGCCAGCTGCCGCATCCAATGGTGAGGCCCACCTTTCGCTCCCGCCGTTGCAAGGGTCCTTTCGTTGCCTTGGTGATGCATATGTGCATGTGTATATATATATATATATGTATTCATATGTACATACATACATGCATACATACATGCATACATACGTACATGCATACATACATACATACATACATACGTGCATGCATGCATGCATGCATACATATATATATATATATATATATATATATGAGACATCACGTTTCTAGTGAGGGTGCTGAACATATCCCTCTTGTTCCACCATGTCCTGTTCTTTCCTGTTGAGCTGTCCTCATGTTTCTTTTACAATTGAATTCTTCCCGCTATTTTGCTTGGCCAGTCAACTGAGCAAGTCAGTTTTGTGGGTGATGTTTGAAGGGGAGGTAGTTGCGATAGTTATAAGCGACCCATTTGGTGGACCAGTCCTCAGCTCCGTACAAGTCCTTTGTTTGATATGATTTGTTTGAATTCAAGCAGTTTTTTAGCCTATCTTGAATCATGGCTACCCAAAAGATGACCGCATGTTTGTTTTTGCCATGTTGTGAGACTTGTTTCCAAAGATGACCAACTCAGCTACAAATTTCGCCCGGGTAGGCAAGGGGAGAGCCCCAAGAACGACCGGTGCAAGCTTCCTCTCAAATTCGATCTGCCTATTTTAGAGCGAGCTCACTTCACCATGGTACAGGTCCTTTACTTGGGGATCTAGTTCTTAATTAGTTCAGCTTTTGCATTCATGGTACGATTTGCTGGCGCTCCCAGAAAGGATTAGCTCATGTGACAGGTCTAAGGGGATAAGCTCAGACCGAAAACCAGCCATGATATTTAGTGAACCTGAAGCTGTCACACATGCCAAACCAGACCCCACGGACGGCAGATTAGCATTCTCGGATTTTCGGGGGCTCGGACCAGCTTTGACGGTTCTAGGGAAGAGGTCCACAAGCACTGGACGCCACCTGCAAAACGCAAAAACGGAAGCCACGAGAGACTATGGATGGAGGATATCCGTTCGCACCGCCTAAGAAACTTATTCGGAGATACCAACACTCCATGGTGTCAACCGAGGTTTCTTAGGTGGTGCGAAATGGAATTCGCAACCATTCAGATGGGATGGATGGTCTACTCCAGAAATGTGGCATGGTTTCGAGAAAACTAAGTGCGAATCAGAATCTGCTTTCTTTTTGCGTGTACCCCGGACTGCCAAGATCCAGGGACGGATGGTGACAAAGTCACATCGACTGACAAGAACTGGTTGGAACAGCTTGCAGGAATCACCGGGTGGCGTGTGCCAAAAAAGATACCGGAGGTTTGTGCGGCACCCCGGGGAAGGTTTCTCAGGCAACTGTCGCCGAAGTACTCCATACGGACGTTTCAAGCGACGGTTTGTGAATGATTCACCCAGATACATCCTTGGAAAGCAATCAACACATGGGCGCGTGTCAATTTCGGCTCCATAAACATGGTTCCTTGTGGTCTCGCTTCAAACCAGCCTGCAAAGGGTACCCTCAAAAAAGCACAACAACACACCGACACACAGACACAGAGACCCGCACCACCCACACACACATATCACCTTGGCGCTCCCAGGGGCGATTGATCAGTGATAGTTGGTGGCACCGGAACTGGAAGCAAAATTGCTGCATTTGCACGGCATCTTGCCTTTGGCTTGGCCCCGTTGTTGGGCTCCTGCGAAGCTAAAGGAGTCAATGCTGGAGCAACCTTTAGTTTCGAACATGGGTGAACTGGTACTTCTAGACAAGCATGTGTTGTGTAAACATGCTGCAATCGCCTAAAGTAGTTGTCTTTTGTTCGGCAATGAATTGTTGCAACACCTGCAGGAGTCTGTTGTTCAGCCATTCTTTCCCAAGTTTCATGTGTGATCTGGTCACCCCACCCACTCAGCCGGATCCGTCGACCGCTCCAGCGGTTGCCGATGGCGGATCGCCGATGGCAGGCGTTACTCCAAAGCTGAGTACCAAGAGCTGGGCGAGGATCTCTTCTCGCGCTGACTCTTCGGGGTCTGGTGGCCCGGCGGCGCGGCGCAAGGTCAAAAACACCTGGCTTGGGGTTGGTGTGGGGATGGTCATAGACTCTGTTGTGGAAAGTTTGTTCGAGAAGCACGAGGAGTCCTATTCAAACCTTGACCAAAACCCACAAGGAACTTGCCCAATATATATTGGCAGGTGATTGCTTGCTTCGTGAGAATACTGCGTATGGTGCTTCTCATGATGGCCTTGCCCTCTTTAGGTCTGTTTTTTAGGGGACCCCAATTTAGGGCTTTCTCACGGCACAAACCCAGAAGGCCAAGTTGTGATTTGAGGTAGTGATTGAGTAGTGATCATATTGTGACGGATATCCACTGGCGTTTCGCATTTTTCCATCCACTGTGAGGCTGCTTTTTCAGCGAGCCCTGGAAAGAGTGGTGGAGTTTCCAAACCCAGCCATGCTCTTTGCAGCTTTACACCTAAACTCCCTAGACAGCCAAGCTGCCGCTATTCGGTTGACCACCAAACCACCGGGCTCCACACCACCAATTCGTGTGAAGCTGAGTTGTGTCTCCAAATAAACGGATGTCAGCTTTAGCAGCCACAAGGGCTGGCGGTTTCGGGATTTAACCCCTTGCGTCTCAACAACAAAAACGCCCGTCCGGATCTGTTTTGGCATGTGACATCTTCAGGTTTGCTAACTATCATGGCTGGTTTTTGGTGCGACCTTATTCCCTTAGACCCTTTGGAAACGGGGCTTCTACCTCAAATTGTCCCACCAACCGATTGGAATATGTTTGATTCTGGCTTGCTCCAAGGCCCCTGAGCAAAAAGGTCAAAAAGGTCCTTGGACCTTTTGTCTAGGTTTAGTGGAAAAGCCATTGCTTGCATGCACTCTCAGTAAAGGTGGGGGTCCGAAAACCAGGTGGGTTCGGTTTGTTTGGCGCTGGTACGCTTTTGATTTTTTTGGAAGGGCAAATCACAGGAATCTCCTTCATGTTGGGAGTTGCATGGCATTTCCCAGAGGCCTCATAAGTCCCTTTTCGGTGGCGTTAAGCATGCCTGTTGGACGCTTGGGCCATTTCAAGGTGAGTTTCCTCTTGGTGTGGTGATGTTTAAAGGGGACATGTGCTATGTCTCAAAATCGGGGCCCACAAAAATGACATGGTTTCCTTTTGGTTGCCACTTAAAGCAACCCCTTTTCCTTAAAGCAACTCCTTTTCGGGGAGTTGTTGAAACAAGCAAACACACACACCCTTACAAATGTCGAGAGCCTCATAGGGTTGGGCACACCCCGCCCGGTTTTTTCCCCACCGCTCGCTTCCCGCTTCGAGGCCGAGCAACCGAAGCGAGCGATGGGTTCAAAAAGATGGGCGCAGGCGTTGGAAGTTCCTCTTCCATTTGCTGAAATCAATCAGTCAAACATTAGCTGACATGAATATATCTTCACCTTTGTTGGTGAAGGGGATCTATCAGAGGTTCTCATTGTGTCAGGGAAATGAAATCAGTGAATGAATGAATGAATGAATGAATGAATGAATGAATGAATGAATGCATGCATGCATGCATGCATGCATGCATGCATGCATGCATGAATGAATGAATGAATGAATGAATGAATAAATGAATGAATGAATGAATGAATGAATGAATAAATGAATGAATGAATGAATGATTGAATGATTGAATGAAGGAATTAATGAATGAATGAGTCAGTCAGTCAATCAATCAATCAATCAATCAATCAATCAATCAATCAATCAATCAATCAATCAATCAATCAATCAATCAATCACGGAGGGGTCTCGGCTCAAGAGCCAACGAAGCTTCCACGTTCCTGTCTTTTGTTTCTGGTTTTTCCTTGTTCGTGTTGAACAGGGAATATATCACTACTGGACATCACTGTTCTGCTTTTTTCAGGGGGCTTAAGCACATGGAAATTCCTGAAAAATGTTCGGACACAAATCACCCGTTTGTGTCTACCGGGCCACCCGTTTGTCTCTACCGTATCTTACATCTTAGGTGGACATTAATGACCCATTTTTTTGAGGTCACCCAGTGCTTCCTGCCGTTTGACCACTACAATAGGTAACCCTTCGGTATGGCTACTTTTCTTGGTTTTACATCATGGGGAAGCCCTGGTACCTGCTATAGTGGTAGCTGGAAGCATGGGTCATGTAAATGTTCCCCCTTGTGTTTGAAAGGAAGCCCAAGATAAACACGTGCAAAAATAAGTCTGGGACCCCCCAAGCGAGGGATGTTGGGGAGACTTGGCAGTGATGTTCTTTTTTTGACATGAGAACGCCTGGGTGTGTGTTATGTTGAGGTTGCCCTGTTTGGGCTTGGCTTAAAGCGAAGCCACAAGGGAAAAAACCAGCCCCTTTGACACACACATACCCATCTGCAAGTTACGGCTTTTGTTTTGTGAACTCCTCCATTTGCTAGAGGTGTCAAAACGGGGGATTCATAGATAAGTTCCCCCAAGCATGTCATCTATCGGCCTAAGATTTCAGAGACAAACCCGCTACCCGCGGCCTGAATTTCACGGTCAGTCGATGCACATTTGGGTGTGTTCTTTTTCAGGAAGTCCCCTCCCCAAAAAAAAAACAGGCACAGGGTGTTTTTGTTTGTGTTTGGGGTTTCCCCTAAAAACCCACCAAAAGGAGGGTTCCCCGACACCAAGGGGCCCATTTGGGATTCTAAGGACCCACCGCTGGCGGCGCATTGCGGTGGAGCCGGCCTTCAACGGCAGGCGCGGCTCTGGCCTCGAAGGTGGTGCCTGTGAGTTGGGTGTCCCAGTGGAAGGCTCGGCCACACGGAGTCTCCGGATCTGAGCATAGGTATCCTTTTTGGTAGAAACGGGGAGGGTTTATTCACACGGGGTCAACATTACCGCATCGAAGCTGCTGCCGCTGAAGGCTCCCTAGGGAACCATAGGTGTCCTTTCTTGGTTGGCTTTGGTAGAAAAATCGATGGGTTTCGATCCCTGGTTTAGCTGGTGGTTTCTTCTCATCTACCAGGGAAACCCATCTATGTCCCCTAAGAGGACACCAATGCTTCTGACCCTTCAAAAAGAGTTGGTCATTGCCCAAAGCCATGGTTGGTCATTGACCCATGTTTGATTCGGGTCAGAAGGAGACTCCAGGTAGTAGGTAACCCTTCGCTATTTTCCGGGTGGTTCTAGGCAACCCTTCGCTATTTTCTTGTTTGTATTATATTGGGTGGTTCCAACTTGGTTACGTTTTCTACAGGTAGTCCACTGGGTGGCTCGTCTTTTTTTTTTGGGGGGGGGGGCAAGAAATGGCTAGTTTCCCTTTGGTTTCTCTTAAAGCTAACCCCCGAAACCGGTAATTACCCCTCAAAAAACGTCGAACCACTCATGTCGAAGTGGGGTTTGAATCCGCTCCACTGACTTGTTATTTCTTTTGGGACTTTGCTGCAAGACTTTGGTGGTCCAACTCCAACAAACATGCCCAACATGGTGTTTGCAATTTTGTTGCATCAATAATGTTTAAAAGATGTGCTTACTCAGAGCCATGTTGAATATTTGTGGATTGCCTAGGGCAATGGATGCAGGCGTTTATGCTGCATCATCTAGGGTTCTTGACGGTTGAAAATCGGACCCTCGGGCACTGTGCATGTTTCTGGTCTGTTCAAAAAGACGGCTTCAACTCGTTTGGGGCCCGATTTTCCTCAGAGCGGCACCAGTGTGAACTATAACTCTCTCGCCATCATAAAAACGGACAGGGGGCTTCCTTAAAAGAACACATACTCTTGCTCGCCCTCTCTTCTCTGCACACCTTGCAATCCCTCAAACTGAATGCATCCTTCACTGTTCTTGGTGTTGATTTTGTTTGTTGCACACATGTGGCTGTGGCTCAAAAAACTGGTACCAAAATGGAACCCTTGCAAGTGAAAACATGGACCAACACTGTAACACCTGCGTAACCTCTCCTGTTTAATTTTGAGCCACACCCATATCCGGCCCAGAGAGAATGCCCTCCTCGCCCCGCCCAGCCCCTCACAGCCCCTCGAAAGAGACAAAGTCGGGCGGATAGAACCCAGACAGGCAATCAACGAAGCCTTTCGAACCCACCTGGGGCTAGCTTTGCCTTGGGGTTCAAACCATTTCAACACAGGTCAAAACAAGCACCAAAAGTTACTTGACTTTCCTCATCCAAATGGGGTCCTTGCCATTCCAATCGGGTTTGGGTCGTGGTTTCTTTTCGCCCTTTTCCGGGCCCCGGACATTCGATCCTGTCCGGATGATCCGATCACAGGCCCTGTGAGGGGTCCTTCAATGAGACGAGGGCCTGCTCCCACGTGAACCTCAAGGACTGCGGCTTTGCTCGGGGGACACTAACCGATGGCTATGTCTCGTGGTCTGGAAACCCCCCAAAAGTGGCAAGGGTTTCCTTTTTGTTTCCCCTTCTCATTACCACCCCAAAAGGAGCCCCCTATGAGAGACACACCCAAATGGTTGCTTTGAGAGATATCGCAGAGGGTCCCCCCTCCCCTCGTGGTGCATATTTATGGCTGGGGGTTTGGTGCTTGGGTTTGTACCCCCATGTAGTGCCTTTGGGTTCATGGGTTGCCTTGGGGGTACCAGTGTCATTCTGACCCTGAAAAAAATGGTTGGTCCATTCCCAACTGTTTCAAAAGGGTCATGGAGACTTCAGGTAGAGGCTTGGGGATAGTGGAAGCTATCTTGTACACATACATGTGAGCACTGGACAGTTTTGTTGGCAGTTCTACTTAGCCATGGTTTCGCGAGAACTCTTCCAGGTCCGGATCCATATCGCTGCCCAAAGCGAATCGACGTCCGCTAAGTTGATCGCCTCTTATGTTTTGGTCCGAGGGCGAACAGAACCCGTGATGAAGACCCGTATGGACCTGAGAGGTGGATGTGGGATGCCTGGAGTTTCCGGATCTGACCCGAAATAAAAATGGGAGGGGTCAGAAAACCCCAAATAATTAGTTGGCCATGGACCCATTTTTATTTCGGCTCAGATCCAGAGACTCCAGGTCTATGTGTTTGGCGCAACGATGTTTTTTTGGGGGGTTGCTGGGGGAAACGGATTGGATAGCCCCTAGGAGTTCCAGAGAACCCATGGCTTGACCTTTAGTAACAAAGGGACCACAAGAAATGATTGGCGGTCAACCAGATGGGCCATCCCCGGAGCATGCAGATTGGTTTTCTTTGGGTTCTCTGTAATCTGTTGAAGGGATTCACTAGTTTGCTGATTGTTTGATTTAGCCAGATTGTTCATGGAACCCTATCAGAAAACAACCTAGTGGGTGCTTGAGTGAAGGAAGGCTGCCTCAAGGTCTGATGTGGGCAGACCACACATTTTATGGCAAGCGAAAGCCATTTTTGGCCATTTAGCTGATCCCATATTTCTGGTCTTGGAATGATTGGTTCGCATTTGTGCTGGGGCCAGTTGATTTTTGTTTCTGGGCATTGTCCTTTAGTCAGAAACTGGAATCGGTTGTTTTCCTTGAGCGGTGACGTTGATGGTAAAATCATGGGGCCTGGATGCAGATCCCCATATAAGTGTATAAATCCCGTGCGAGGCAAGCCCCGGCTGTCCATCGGAGCAACAATACGGTTACAATTGAACTTTCCAGTCTCATTTCATTTCACTTGGGTTTCCCCTTGTCCCCTCCAAGGGAAAAGCAAATAATGTGATGTGAATGGCCAGCAAAGGAATCCCAGCCATTTTGCGGAAAGTCATTTTGAGAGACGCCCATGTGAGGGTTTAACAAGGTGCTGTGGATTTCGCCCGTATTTTTCAAGCAAAGTCGGGCATCCTAAAGCGCCCTGATGAATTTCGCAAGCAAGGCGCTGTCCTTTTGTCAGCTGGGCGGGTCTTGTCCCTGGCTTTGGCTTGGCATAGATTCCTGATTATTGTAGGAACACGGCATCACAACAAAGAAAGAAAACACCAGTTGAAGGATGAGACTCCAGTTTTGTTGAAAGCTGAGTTGCCCCATCCTTCCATCAGCCATTTTCGGAGCCATGTCGTCGACCCCGGATGAATCAAGCCCTTGATCAATATGGGGGGGGGGTCACTTTTGACCGGGTACTCTTCGCTTTTTGAAGGAACATCCGCAACACAAATCCACCAGGATGAGTTCCGCACAGGAGAAATCGACCAAAAGATGCAGGGCTTGTCTCAAAATACATATCAAAATACGATTTCCTTGTTGGTTTCCCTGTACAGCCATTTAAGAGGGGGGCGTAGCAAAAACCGCCCCAGAATTGGCCCAGGACTCCTTGAGCGGGAAACCAAATCCTCCCAGAAGCTGTCCCAAAGAAAAAAAGGGCTGGACTGATCAGTGGCTGACCCCATAGAAAACGCC